ATATGCCTATAACCGGAAACGAATTAATTCTAAAATTAATGTCTAGTAATGATAGTTCACCCATATTTTTTTCTGAAGGAATCCAAATCAAGTGACCAATTTATTATTGATGTTGCTATTGTTACGGTTTTTTAATTATTTCTGTGATACGTATGCAGTAATACCGATTTTGATTAATGGCGCGGCCGGAGCGTAAAGCTGACAACCTTACCGCCATCTTTGAGCCGATTGTCTAGAAATTGTGGGACCCTTAACGTCTCACAACCCTATGGGCCTTCATGGCCTGGTACAGGGATAGCTTTACTTTTTACTTTTACTAGTATGCTTAAATGCCATATCTAATGTTCGAGAAAATTAATTACCGTACTGGAGTTCGGTTGTTAATTACGTTTTAGGAAGTGGTACTCTACAATAAAGGCTAAGTACATATTAAACGCATACAAATAAGTACTCAATACAGCAGAAAATGGTATAATTGGACTTGCGTCAAATAACTTTAACATAATAACGAAACGCGACCGATACCGTTTGGTAGCTCTGCATTCCTATGAAAAACAATCAGCAATCATCTCACAAAACCGAAACGACTAGCCACAAAATCAATCTCAGTGACGCTGAGTTATTGTAGGCTTTGTCCCCTTTGCGCCCCCCCCCCTCCCCGTGACTTGCTTGAAGCTCGTTTCTTGCAGAGATTACGAACTGCGCTATTCGTTCTTCTTGCTGGATATCAGAACTTCAAGCCAAATGCTTTAAGCTGGCCGCCGTACAGACAGAAGCAGCCAGGTTGACTCTTTCATGATGCTTCTATATTTATGTTACTGGGCACGAAGGAGACATCTGGGACTTCCTGCTGAGAGGAAACAAACAATGGGTGATAATGAAGCCTGAGAAAGAATGAAAGAGCCCATTATTATGGTGAAACCAATATTTGCACCCTTAACCCTTTGAAAAAAAAAGGAACTTATTTTAATCATTATTTAAAAATTTGGTTCCCTCCTGACATGAAACGTACTGTGTTTCCATTATAGTTGCTTAAATATGCTAAGAGCAATAGCTGCTGCGTGTTATTTTTGTGCGTCTTGTTCTACGATACTGTTGGTATCCAAAATCTATGACGTCGAATGGTAAAGTCACTCATGAATGATTTGGAAAGGACTTGGAAGGAAGCGGTAGTGGTCTAATAGAGGTGATACTCGTATATAGTAATCTTCTTGGAGGAACTGAGGAAAACCACGAGAACTCTTATCAGGATAAGTACCCCGACCGAAATTCGAACCGAGCAGCTCCCGAATACAAGTCTAGCGCGTTACAGCTGAACGGCCTTCTCGGTTGTGTTTTAGTCTTAAAATCATACGAAAGAAATAAATTCGGCCTGTGGACAAAACGCAGGATTTTTTTAAATGTTAAACCAGGTGGTGTATAATACTAACCAATGTACTCGTACTTTCAAGGGTTAACTAATTTCTAGAGAATTCTTTCGTTCTCTATAAATGAAATTACTAAGTCCGTGGAACAGATTATCTCTCTACGTGTCTGTGGCTCTACAGCCTTGTGTTGGACTTTCGCCGCCTTTTCAGTTTCTTAATCCTATACACAGAGGGTAGGACTCCTTGGATGGGGTATGAGCCCGTCGCAAGGGCGTTAACTATACACAGAACAACACAGAGAATAAAAGCACACAGACATCCATGCCTCGAGTGGGATTCGAAGTCACGACCTCAGTGTTCGAGAGAGAAAAGACAGTCCATGCCTTATACCGGACTAGATTATCGCTTAAGTAATAAAATTTCTCAGTTCCACACTGAACCCGAAATTACCCCACAGTGACCACAAGAGTTACCAGCTGGTACATATCATGAACTATTCAAATCTCGGTCTGTATCTCCTAAGTTCGCATTCTCTAGTCACTTGCATCATACAGCTTATGCTTGTTTTCCTTAATTACTGATTCCTACTAAACCTGTTTCGTGTGTGGGTGTTATTAATTTCGACATTTAGTGTGATATAGTGGGTGCTGAATACAAGGCAATGCTCGCATAGATAGCTGAGCTGTGTTACGGTATGTCCCGAGTGGTTCGCTGGCGCCAGGGTTTCCTGCCTGGCAATGAACGAGTAGGTGAACAAACAGCAGAAAGAGTAGGGAAAACTTTTTATTCTAAAATTAGTTCAACCAGTGTGCAAGTATGCTGTAAGACATGAGAGCTATTTGCAGGGGGCTTGAAGTCAATATCAGGGCTTGGTTGCCTTCAAACCGAAGTCTGTTTCTAATGTTGGATATACTAGTATTGTTATCGACAGAAAGAAACAAAGAAAGAACATTCGTTCTGGTAGAAAATGTTATCACTGTTAATTTTTTGTAATCCTAATTATAACGATAGCCGATCATAGTGGGCGAGGCACGAACTGTCTTCGCTTGCTCGAAAGCCGAAATCGTGGGTTCGATCCCATTCAAGGCATGGATGTCTGTGTGTACGTTTATTCTGTGAGTAGGTAGCGGCCTTGCGAAGGGCTGATCACGCGTCCAAGGAGTCCTACCGACTGCGTAAAAAAAGATTACGAAACTGACAACGAGGCCGGGGCCCAATAAAGGACTGTAGAGGCATTCATGAATGAATGAGTGAAATAATCAGGATGAAGATCAAAGAAAAAGAGGCTGATTAGTTTAATTTTGTTCCCTTTTACTCGTCCTGGCTTAGACAATGCTTGCGGCCATATTAGGAAGGACAATAAAAATCTCGTATCCACATTGGGAAATGGATAAAGGAAGCAGGAGGCTCTATGAAGCGACTATTAACGACTACGTTGATACTGATCGCACTGGTCTCACATACTGATTTCTGCCGACCAGTGATCGTTAGACGATTAGAAACATATAATTCATCCAGTACTTATTTTTTATAATTATGCAAGATGTGAGGAGGCATGTGGTAGCGTAGTTGTTTGAGGCACTATGCTACAAGCCGTAAGGTCGCGGGTTCGATTCCCGATAAGACCACTGGATTTTTCAATTGATCTAATACTTCCAGTCGCACTACCGCCATGGGGTCGACTCAGCCTCTAACGGAAATGAGTACCAGGAATGTTCCTGTGGGTAAAGGGCGGCCTGCCGGCGCGTAAGGCTTGAGAGCCCTGCCACCATATGAGAGCCGGTTTTCTAGAAAACGTGGGAGCCTCGAGTTCTCACAACCCTACGGGCCTCCACTCTCTGTTGCAGGGATAGATTTACCTGTTATATGCAAGAGGTGTAGTTCTCACACAGATGACTATGAGGCGTAATATCTTCTGAGATCCACCTGCAGAGTCGAAAAATAAGCCGGCTTTGTCGTTTGCTTGCTATTCTTACTCTTGGAGCCTGAAAGTGGAGCTAGAACTTTCCTCCGAAACGTTAGTAAACTTCTAACAGAATACACAGTGTTACGGCCCTATCTCTTTCAAAGGGTAGTGTACGGTTAAGAAGTTCATACATTTCGGTTAAATTGTCAGAATTATAACATATGTTTATGTTCATGCGAAGATGTAAATTCATTATAACGTACCATAATTACCGCCTTAGAAGTTATATCATGTTTACTTCAACATCGCGGAAGTTTTAATTATACTTAACACAAAGCTGTTCTGAGCGAAAGTGGTCATAGTACGTACAAACTTACTTCAATTGCATCTGCACGCTTTGCGCCTCCAGGAATTGCACTTTCAACAGGGGGGGGGGGGAAGAAGAGAAGAGAAGCAGATCCCATTTGTCATTGCGAGCTTCCGACTTGTCCTGTTGCTGCCCGCAGGCACTGAAGCAAATCTTCTGTCCGGAACATCTGAAGTGATGTGATTACTTCGTACTAGTGAATGGAGGGAGAGCGGGGCAAATGAGATTGCTAGACAAACGTATCGTAGGACTAGGAACAAAAGGGAGGAGTTTCTTCCATTCAGACGGGTTAATGGCCGACTTTACTGCAATGCTTCCGAGATTCGAACTAAAGTGAACTTCCTCCGCACCCCCCCCCCTCTTCCATTTCGCTCAGTCGTCCATTAGCATAGTTCCATCTTCAGCTCAAATGTAACTAATTTTAACGCCAAAATATTCTGCATTGAAGAAGTCAGTGTTTTCTGTCTGTTAGTATGAGTGAAGATGGACGACCGGGGGTCCATTCCCGGCAGGGGTAGGATTTTTCTTTTCTCCACAACATCAAGACCGGCTCTAGGACCCACACAGCCTCCTATCCAATGGGTACTGGTGTCTGTCCCAAGAGGTATAGTGGCTCAGTCGTTAAGCTGACCACTCACCTCCGTATATTTCCAAGGTCAAGTTGGTGGAGTTATACCTCCATACGCTCATGTTTTCATGGCATACGAGTAGCGCTTAATTAATTAAGCACAGGGGAAACTTACCTATCAATACGAAGTTTTGAGTAAAAGACCGGAGTCTTCCGAGGTTGTACACACCGACATTTCAGAACGAAATTCTGCATTTATCTTCAGGGCTCAAATATGTAAGAAGGAATCGGTTGGGTTTCTCATGCAGGAGTCAAGGAAGACGGACACACAGATTCATTAAAATCTAAAATTCTTATTTGAAATTTTTCGAAGCACAAATAAAAGTGACGTATAACTATGTAGTGTGTTAGCTATCGAGTAAGTCACTCTATAATGATGGATTTGTAGAAGACAAAGTTTTCCTTGTGATTAATTTTTTCACGACGGGCCCAGCGGAGCACTTTTTACGCAGTTCAGAGTTACCCCCGGCAGCAAACAAATTCCCCAATTGCGTCGAACGATGTGTGAATGTTTCACATAATTTCGCAGAACAAGAAAGACGCTATACAAATTTTAAAGCGTCACAATAAAGAAACTGTAAGAATCGTGTTCATTGTCACATGCCGTCGTCAGAAACATTACACTTAGCTGTACTCTCTAGTTTACAAGTTGTGTGCTGTATGGGGCACAGCACCCCACTTGCGTTAGTGAGGCCAATGAAAATGACGGGAGTGACTCTTCTTATGTTTCAGATCTGCTGTATCGCCAAACAGTGACAGTCAATAATTCCCCCCTAGAAGTGGAAATCGTTGATGTATCAGGCGAGACGGTAAGTTCTTTACGTTCATAGATGATTGACATTGAGTGGACAGTGACACAGCTCAGGCGGTTAGACGCTGACTTCTCAGCACCAGTTTCAGTCCCAGAGGTGATATCCGTTACGGATTAACTGACATTTTAGCACATCTGTCCACGAGTTTCATACATTATCCCCTTCTGATCATCATTCCAGCATTTATCCATAACCAACCCCTGAGGCGTGAGACCTGACCAGGCACCACATTATCACATCCGCGATACAAAATGTATGGGATTTTATCTCAGGCCGGGCATTTAGTTGGTTGCAGAATATGGAATGTAATTATTAAAATCTAACTGAGGGTAAAACTGATCCAGTAAAACATAACTCCATCACCACATTCGGCATTGATTTCACAATGATCTGTGAGGTGATCAGTCATTTACTAAGTTCACAAAATGGGAATCTTACACTAGGTGTGCCATCTGGTTTAATTACCAATTACAGAAAATTATGATTGCTTATGGAACGTTGTGGTTCATTTGGCTCATTCTCATGTAATATTTAAGGGAAATTTCTGTAATTTTGAACCCAAAATATTTGCTATTCCATTTACACTGAAGACGATGGATGTTACATGACCTGATTTTGGAAGGAGAAATTTGTAAATGGTCTAAGCTTATCAGAATCTATTTAGAGGGCGATGCCAAATTACTGTCGGGGTTTCCGTGGCCTATAATTTTTAAATCGGAAGCAACCAAATAAAACCGCTTACAGAATATGAAAGTGTAACTCAAAAAGTTTTATTGTTTGTACAATTAATAGTGCAGAATGCTAAATCACCTAAAATAAAACATTCTGNATATACACGGTGCCAAATCCCAGAAGACTACTTTCCTCATTCTGATTTACGCTTTCATATTCCGTAAGCAGTTTTATTTTTTTGTTTGCGGTTTGAAAATTATTTGACATGGAAACCCCGATACTAATTTAGAATCACACTGTATTTCAGAAGACAGGTTAATCTGATTGTGGGCGTTCGTAGTTTTTTAAAGATGAGTGCGACTGTATTTTACAATAGTCCAACATGTGTCAAATCTAATCCAACTCATGATCCAATCCCTACCGATTTTAAACCTCCCCATAATATTACAAAGCACACAACAGCTATATCTAAATGTAATCAATGCTTTTTCTGGCATCCACAGAGAGATTCTACATTTCCACTGGAGCAAGTGCAATGGGCCGATGCTTGTGTCGTAGTATACTCCATAACGGACAAGCAGTCGTTCGCATATGCAGTGGAGGCACTCGAGAACTTCCAAAAACTGCGGCCGGTCAGCGCAGTTCCCGTCACGTTACTGGCCAACAAGGCGGATCTTGAACACCTCCGAGAGGTGAGTTTTCTTCCAGCATCGTTGCATAAGTTAGTCCATGTAACGGCTTGGCTACGGGCTGGATGACCGGGGATCAGAATTCGATTCTCTCCAGCGTTCAGGCCGTCGGCTTCGGGACCCAGCCCACCTATCCAATGGATTCCGCGGAATCTTTCCCTGGGGCAAAGTGGACAATGAGTGAAACTGACTATTCACCTCCCCTTCCAGCCGAGGTGGTTAAGAACGCGCGTATATATTACGTACCTCCAGTCTCCCCTACGACTTCCTGATGTGGTGCTTACAAAGACTTGACCGCTTTACTTCGACCAGCTGCACTCACTTACTATGTCAAGACTGAAGGCGGTTACTCGCCGGCTTCCAAATGCGGCCTGCGTTCGGGCCCAGGTCAGATCATGTGGAATTTACGATGGACAAAGTGGCTCTTTGGCAGGTTTTATCCGAGTGCTTCAGTTTCCCCTGTAAATTCGCATTCCACTGACTGCTCCATATTCGTCATCTATCGTCGGGTGCTGGTACACTAGGCCAATTAGAGGCCCACGTACCAAGTGACTCAGTCTCATCCCACTCCAAGAAACTAAGAAACTAACTACTATGACAAGAAATCATGTTACAGCAACGCTCTCCGCTAGGGAACATTCGCTTAGCAGCAGATATTTCACCAATGGATTATTGTTATAGCAACATTTTATGCAAGGAAACTCCCCTTGGCCAAAACTTCCGAAGCCATAAGCGAAAAGGCGTTCAAAATTAAGAACAGGGGTAATTTCTGGTAGAAGCCTCGGCCTCAGATGTTAATTGATTTAGAAGTACCTAACACATACTTTATTGCATGATAAGACAGATGTACTTAATAATTGGACGGTGTTGTTGAGAAGGAATTACCAATCAACGTACACAAGAAAGTGAGAATACGTGTGTAAAATTACTGTAATTAGTGGGAGGAAACATAAACTTATGGTTACCGCCGCCATCTCGTAATATCGACATGATTATTTTCGGAGTTGTAGTACTTCTGTGACCGCAATCTGTTTCAGTTATCTCTACATCACATTCTCTCTGCTTAGTCACGTGACTTCGGAATGCAACTGCGCGTAATTTGTTTTGCGAGATCTGTTCTGGAAAAAAAAGCCTTCCAATAAGCTCTTTACAAAGCGACTGCACTGCAGCATGGTTGTACGTAAAGCCACTTTTCATACAGAGAACAATAAAAATTATCAGCTGTACTTACTCTGGCTTTTGTCCTGTTTACAGGTGGAGGAGTTGGAGGGGCGTACTGCAGCAATTCAGAACGGCTGCCAATTTTTCGAAGTATCAGTGGCTGAAAACAGTGCGGACTTATATCAAGCTTTTGAAATGCTGGTGAATGAGTGCCGTTGTCTTCAGGGAAACAACGGCAAGTCACGTAAATTCTCAGTATCTAAAATGATCGGTACTTTGATTGGCAGCAGCAACAGCAATAGCAAGAATGGCAACATTGGCAGCCAAACGCAACAGCAGACCCAGGGGGGCACCGTGGTGGTTTGCCAGAAGTCCGACCTCCACCGCAGCCGTGTCCTTAAAAGACGTCAGAACTTCACGGCAACTGCTTCGCTTTGACTGGACCAGGGCCCGGCAGGTCCTAGTGATGCTGCTACGCGATGTGCCACGGTGGTTCCATGAGACTCCGTCCTGGTCTGATTTCCCTAACTTGTTACGGACGTCCAAGTCTGCAAGCGAGGCGGAACGAGGACTTGGCCATTTCACACCAGTGGCTCACTGTGACGTCCTCGTGGCGACGGCCGCTGCCATTATTTTAAACTAAGCCGACACAATAACTGCCTTCGTTCTGGTTAAGGCGATGGTACAAGTTAGAAGAAGATGCTGAATCCAGGTGGGAACTGTCCTACTTTTAAAGAATGCCGGTGACATTATTAACAAAACTTGGCACAATGTACTCTCAAGCAACGCCCCGATTCCAAAACCTGGGGTTACTGTCAAGTTAATGAAGAAGAAGAGGATAAGTGTGTGAAGAACTGCCTCTCTTCGGCACATTAAACCACAGACTAGGTAACCTGTTCACATCTCTCCTTTCCGGTGATGGATTTAGTGCCATGAAAGTAATGTCTCCGCTTCAGAATTGTGTAACGAACACACCCGTCTTCCCAGCCTCTGAATGACAGGCGCCACGTGGTGAGACAAACAGAAAATCAATAAGAATAGGCCGGCCTATATTTGTATAGTCTATATCCGAGCACAGCAGAATACTGAATACATATCAATGTATCCTAACGTCTTATGAGGCTGGGTGCAGGAAGCACGGCTATAAAAAGAACTCTGTTTTTGTGAGTTTTCAATCTTCAAAGAGCTTTAATTTTATTTAATACACTTTTAATTTATAAACTGTTCAGTTCCTTTTAAATTAATTTTATTTATTCATAACTGTATAAGAGTATACTCTTATACAGTTATAAATAAATAAAATTAATTCAATTAATTCAATCAATTCACATTTTGAATCCCATATTAAATATACCACATGACATTGTAGTAGAACCGAAATATGCCCGTCTAGTGAACCTACCCTGAAACAATGTTTCGGACTATTCGTAATGACGCGTTCGAATGACTACTGCAACTATTAAACACCTTTTTCATTAAGCTAAATTGCTGTAATCAGGAACGACAAGAACGGCATACCTGCCTAATTTCGTAGTCCTACATTAGCGCAATAAATTATAAATGTAACACTTCCAATTTGGATGTTACAGACCAAAGTGAACAGTATATTAAAACGACAAAATAAGAAGGAGTGGTCACAGAGTCCCTGACGGAATACTTTTCCCTATCTGGAAGTACATTACTTCAGAGGGAACTTACTGCTACCAGGCTGATCGGTCAGCTGCTTGCTAATGCGCCACTAAAGAGCCTAAACACAACAGTGAGATGGGCGGTATTCCAAACAAATGGGTTGTGAGTGCGTCACGTATTTGGAATGTGCTTTAAGGAAAGTCTGGTATCGGATTTTGACCAATAACGTCATATAACTTAGACTGAATAAGTATCCAGACCGATTCATATTACACCTGAGTTTCTAATTTTATTCCTAATTAATACGGACAGAGAATAATGTCCTCAGGAAATTAAAACTCTCCTGGACTGTCTAGTGTATAGATCCAACAGCCTGAATGGAAGTAAGAGAAAATACCACAACAAAACTAGGCACGAACTTTGCAAACAGAGAAGATAATAAGTGACATGTAATATTAGATCTCTGTTTTAAATGTCTGCTGTAAAGTCAACACATTCCATACTTTATACCCTTAAATGTGCGTATTTTCCAATAACTGCATACTTCTGTCCATTGATGATAATAATAAGTACTTTAATTAAATAAACATGGTACAAAACATGATTCTTGTCAAGTAGGGATACCTACTTACAATAATTAAGTCCATAAAAGGTTTGAAACGGACAAGGAAATTATGTATATGTGACATGAGAATTTTGTGTTATATAACCATATTTCAGTGCCAGGTTTCCAGACTGAAATATTTCCTATATTTCTAGTTATTGGAAATGGCTTTAATTAGTTAAAACAATGCACAAAATAAATTATATATTCATAATGTCATATATTTATTTGTAAATCTGTGTTTACATCTGTAATTGTTGAGAGCTAGTTTTTTGTATGTGCGCCCACTGTGTTTCTGTGTGTGTGTTTTTTGATGCCGCTGGGTTTCAGAGACCCACAGAGTGAAAAGACTGGCCGCATAGCATCGTGTTGCCATGGAAAAGAAATGCCGTTATGCCTTCTAGTGTGTTTAGCGAAAATTTTCAGTTTTGGGCTTCTTGCCAGTTCGGAAACAGAAATAACACCGAAGCATCTGCACAAAGACAGAATCCCCTCGTGCAAGAAGACGTCGGAATCTGCGTCACTAGCTGATGCACGAAAATCGACGTCTGAATTCGTGAATTAACTTTGAAAAGTTCCTTTGCTCTAAATATAAACTATGAAATTACACCGTTTCCTTTTAGGCGGGAACCTACTAGATGCAAACAATTTGCATATTCTTTGGTAATCAGTTGGTATAATGTCCAGGCTACGGGCTGAACGACAGGAAAATCAAAGTTCGATTCATGACAGGTGAAAGAATTTCTCTCTCATCAGCAGCGTCCAGATCGGCTATGTGACCCTTCCAGTCGTCTGTCTAATGGTTACTGATGGTTCTTTCATAATGGTTAAAATGGTCTGGACGTGCATCTAACCTCTGTCTAGTGCCGAGCTTAAGAATGCGTGAAGTAATACCTCCAATTCTTCATGGCATTGAGCTTAATGAAGCATAGGGACAACTTCATCTTCAATCTTTAGCAACCACATTATGTTTCCCTCTTCCGTACTACAACATCTGTCGCTGTAGGTCTCGAAGTTATAACTGCAGTGACTATGAAGGTCACTCTTCAATGTGTCAAGTTAACGTTCTAACATGTAGGATATGAGATTCTCACAGCGGTAGTTGTGAGAATGAAAACTGCCATCTTCTGGGATATAGCGCCGTGTAGTCCGTATATGAACCGACGTTTGGGAGGAACGTATCACCTCCATCCTCAAGGTCGAAATCAGTCAAGAAACCAGCAACAGCAGGTGTTTAGGCAGACCCTGAAGATGGAAGTGATACGTTCCTCCGAAACGTCGATTCATATACGGACTACACGGCGCTATATGCCAGAAGATGGCAATTTCCAACTTTCTAAAAGTTTAAGGACCGATGTATATACATTTATACTTAATATACAAGATACAATTTGCGGTGTTTTTCCAATGAGAGAACCACNCATATACACGGTGCCAAATCCCAGAAGACTGCTTTCTTCACTTACAAATGCTTAGTTATGTCTGTTCATAGATTATTTACCGTTGTTGTCCGTAACTCAAGACTGTACGGCGGCGAATGTTGGAAGGAATCGCTCATTGCCTGATTTAAGCCACCATCCCGTTACTTACATAGAGGGACTACGGATGAAAAACTCCGTGGTTTTAGTCCACAAGCGAACTATACCGACCGAGCAACTGCCGCTTGTCGTCAAAGTTAGTGCCAACTTGAGCAGATAGAGGGCGTTGCGTGGTCAGCGCAACGAATCCCCGCGGTCGTAATTTCCCTTTTCTAGACTGGAGCCGCTATTTCCTTGAAATAGCTCCTCTGTTATCTTCACGAGGCTGAGTGGACCCCGTTCCAGGCCAACTACTCCTCAGAAAATCTGGTAGCGCCAGAACCCGGGACCTCAGATTCCGTAGCCAGGAACTCTGACCACTAGACCACAGAGGCGGTCAGAGGGACTACGGAAAATGAAGAAAAATCTGTCAGGATAACCGATTTACCTGCAGAGATTTGAACAGTACACGTCCCAAAACAAATAAGAAGCGTTACAGCTCCTGCCACCTTGCCCAATAATCACAAACAGTACTGAGTTTAATTTAATGTCAGAAGTATCAGTATAGTTACAAACTTCTATGGGCAACACGGTGCTTCATTTGAAACGAAGCCTTCAGTCTTAAAAGAAGAGTAACGCACGTTCAATTTATACTGGCGGAACTACTGGTAGATTTCTAAAGCTTTATACATTTAAAAATGTGTTAATATCGTCAGAACTGATAAGGCTGTGAAACCCGACATTACAAAATGTTCCCATTTGTACCTTATCATTACCGTCTTACATTAAATAGATGAGAGATTCGCCAGAAATGAATTTAAAGTGCAATTTATGGCTTCGAGTAAACAACGAGACCGTCTTATTTTATATACGTATAAGCTTGTACTCGTCAATGATGGTATGAAACTGTTGTTAATGCTGTTGTTTGTTGTTAAATATGATGTCACTGTAATAACAACTCGTGTTGTCTGAAATACACGCGTGCTTTCATTACTTGCCAAACAACTTTATATTGTCCTAGATTTTAAAATGGCTGTGATCTATTGGATTTTTGTACTGATTTCTACAGTATACACTGAATTTTGGTACAATACATGTAAGTTAAAATGAAACTGCTTTGTCACTGTTTTTTCCCTTAAGATCCCTATATCATCTTAATGTAAAAATATTAACAAAATTGAGCCGAATAGTAAGACGTGTTAAGTATGATAAATGGTACATACTAAATCTTCACTTCTGAAATGTCTAATGTACCAGAACAGTATAAAGTAACTCCCGCAAGAGAATCATAAGAGAAATTTACAACGTTACAACCAGCATCACGGGGGGGACCGTAGGTGCATTTGGCCCATGCTCCTAGCTTGAGGGGGACCAAGGGTACCATTATTTAATTTAAAACTCTAATGAGCAAAAAAAATTATGGGAATCTGTTTAATTAAACTGTCGACTTTTTATTCTTGACCCTTATTCAATATTTGTTTGATATAAAATCTTATTTTTAAAGCACCGATTAAATATATTAATATACATTTATATGGCTTTTGCAATGGGGTGATGGCGCCAAATTTGTGACAAGACCGGCTTCCCTGTAGCCCCTCTCAGGCCTGGTTATAGCAAAAGTACTTAACCAGCTAAATTCAGGGAACAAGTCCTCCGGGAGGGACTTTAAGCTGTGTATCCCGTGTCGTAATTTTATGGCACGTAAAAGAACCTCATATCCCCAAAGGGGATCACTGAGCCAAATTCCAGGACGTTTCCCGCCCAACAATAGTCTCTAAGGGCTCTGATAGATGGGGAAAGCATTACAGACACCGCTAAGCAAGTGGCCGAACTCGCTTGCTCGGCGGGACTGATGGTACGCACCATTTATCGGTAGGGTATAGAGACTGGTAGAATATCACAGAGGGAAGCACAATAGATCAAACTGGTCGCGGTGCATGGGGAAACCCACCCTCTCTAAATAACTAACTAATTAACCAGCTAAATCATTCCACATAATAGAAACCTATTTCCCCAAGTACTATTAAGATATTTTTCTTCCTCCGATTCCCCCTTCAAAGATATGCCCACCAAAATTGGTAATTCACTTCTTGTTTCTCCCATTTCAACTATACTTCCAGTTCCAAAATTAAAAATACCAGAATTGAGCAACGCATGAAGTATTATTTCTACAAATACATTAAACGATAGTTATAACGGACCGGTAGATGGGTACACGGTGTCCATTACCGCCGATGTCCGCTATAGCCGGGTGATGGGATATTCACGGAAGGACACCGTAGGATACATAGCCATTACACAAAATAAGCATAGAAACACAATGTGATTACATAAAGGTTTTTATATTGGGTTTGTCTGTTTTTTTTTTTTACTTTAAATAGTTTTCTGACAGGTAGTGACCAAATTCCGGCAGAATGTATTCAAGCTGGAGGCGAAATATTTCATTCTATGATCCATAAGCTAATTACTTCTACGTGGCAAAAGGAAAAATTGCCTGATCATGGAAGGGGTCTATTATTGTACCAGTTCACAAGAAGGGTAATAAAACTGACTGCAGTAATTATCGGGTGATATCGCTGCGAACAACTTCATATAAAATTTTATCCAATATTCTTCTCTCAAGGTTAAGTCCATATATAAATTAAATTAGTGGGGGATCAACAGTGTGGCTTGCGATATAATAAATCAACTACGGATCAGATCTTTCGCATTCGTCAGATATTCGAGAAAAAATGGGAGTATGATGAGACAGTACATCAGCTATTCGTAGACTTCAAGAAAGCCTATGATTCAGTTAGGAGGGAAGTACTGCACAATATTATGATAGAGTTTAGGATACCCATGAAAGTAGTTAGGCTGATTAAAATGTGTTTAAAACGAAACATAATAAAATCCGTATAGGTAAACATTTGTCTGATAATTTTCCTATCCAAAGAGGTCTAAGACAAGGAGATTCTATACCTCTACAGCTTTTCAGCTTTGCTTTAAAATATGTCATTAGGAAGGTCCAGGAAAAACAGGTGGGCCTGAAATTAAACGGGACACATCAGCTGTTGGTCTATGCCGATGATGTAAATCTTTTCTTTTTCCTTCGCACTACAGCCTCAGTGAGCCTAGGCCTACCTCCATGAACTTCTCCGTTCACTTCGGTTTTTCTAGATCTTACACACTCGGTACGACTCCTTGGGCGGGTAATCAGCTCGTCGCAAGGTCTCTACCTGTACACAAATGCAGAAAAACGCACACACACAAACTAAACAACCATGCCCTGAGTGGGATTCGAACCCATGATCCCGGTTTCCAAGCGAGCGAAGACAGTACATGCCTTAGACCGCTCGGCTACCGTGACCGGCGATGATGTAAATCTACTGGGTGATAATATAGATACCATCAAGAAAAACGTAGAAACTCTTAATTGAAGGTAGTAATGTTTTTTTTTTTTTAATTTGCTTACCGGGGGGTGGAGTCCAACTGGGTCCACTCGGCACTGCGGCCACTGATTGGCCTATTGTAGCCTGCCCCATGTGTTTATGATTATGGAGAATTTGGTGGAATGAAGATTGGCAGGGGAAACCGAAGTACTCGGAGAAAACTCGCCCCAGCGCCACTTTGTCCAAGACAAATCCCACTTGACCAGACCCGGGGTCGAAACCGGGCCGCCGCGGTGGGAAGCCGCGACTAACCGCTTGAGCTATGGCGCGGCCTAATTGCATGTAGTTCCGAGTCCTGTGTATAAGTGGTCAATAAATCCATTCACCAATCCAAACACCGTCTATAGTCACACACATATCACGTGACAGCATTTTATTTTCGTTTAATCTATTGTTTTCTAGAAAAGCACAAGTCTAGACGAGTCGGCCATGAGAGAAACATTAACTGCCTACAGAATCTGGGTGGAAAATGTCAGGAAAGGAGGTAATAAACGAGACCGAGGTGTGAATGAGAAGAAAGTATTAACATTTATATTAAGAAAGCGGATTATTCTGTAAACTGGCTAAGGCTCGGGCCAAGAACCGCAACATTTGTGGCTGGAATTAACCTTTCGGTGTACAAAACACAAAGAATTTTATGCCGGAATTTAACTATAAATTATTTATGAAAAACTCAGTAACACGAAATTGGTTTGTCGACTGTCCCGTCAATTTGTTTGCTTGTTTATGTAAGACGTGAGGTGTTCACGACAGTGACTACGAAAAGTGCCGCCTTCTAGGATGTGGCGCCGTCTAGATCTTGTGTGAACCTACGTTTCGGAGAAATGTATCGCCTCCACCTTCAGGGTAGAAAATTCCGCGAGCGAGGAACCAGTCTGAGCAGGTGGCTGCAGACTGAGTCACCAGTCGAAGAGCACCCAGCTATATCAGAACAGGAAGGGCGGGAGGGTAGCCTATATAGGACATCAACAGAGTGGAGAGGGGAAGGGTCTATGGAGATGGGCCAGCAGGTAGCAGGCAAGAGCCAGATTAGGATTGTGTCGGGGGAAAAGAGGCAGGGCTACCGTGCTTGCTCGCTTGTTCTTTGTTGCTTGATTGGTTACGTGGATAGGTAAACGACAGGTTAATTTGCTGACTAATCAATAAGCTTGGTAGATACGTCGCTATGTAGTTGGCCGATCGGTCAATTATTTAATTAGGGTAGGTCGGCTTACCATTCGCTCTGTTCTGACCACAGAACACTAAATGTACCTTTCGATTACACGTAAGCGAAACATGTAAATAGTTTGGAGTAGGCCTGTGACATTTTCAAACCACTCTGTTCTTCAGTTCCTGTGTCTCCACAACACGTGTCACTCCGGTGATAGAGCAGTTGCAGCATGGCATGGCGAAGGACTAGACTACGTATGTGTGCTACTGGAAATGGAAATGAATTCCGGAGGGTTCATGATCTTTGCCATAAACGT